ACCATCCAGCCAGTAATCGGTGTACATATTCACCGTTTGTGTACTCCCAATGATATTCGAGAGCTCCAACCAGGGGAATTAACGAAATCTGCTATTTCCAGGGCAATTATTTTCGGCAATTATCGACTGAATTTCGACTACACTACAACACTTTAGGGTAGAGATCCTCTTTACATTTTTTATTCCAAATGATTTTTCATTAATTTCTCGAACTTGAACATTTCTTGAACAGTCTCATACTTTTATGTTAGAAAAGAGAAAAAAATTTGGTATATGAAGATAGAGATGAGGTAAAAGATGTCTTGGAGATTGCATCCCATCAGCATCAATCTAGGAAAATTTTGGGAAAAAGAGCTGGAGAAGTTTTGAAAAATATTCGTGGTGAGATGAGACTCATGAATACACAGCATCGATAAAGCAAACTCGACGATTTGAATTCCTCGAGCGGATCAACAAGAGTGGACGCCTGAGTTTTGAGTGTTCTTGGTGAAAACTACGGCCGGGGGGAAGGGGGGGGGGGCAAAACTTTACCTCAGCTTTCGTACACATCTTTGACCCCATGAAAAACTGAATTCGCTAGTACGTGAGGTACGTCATACGCTGGAGAACACAGGGTCTAAAAATGGTGATGAATTCAAGGAGGGATGAGGGGGGGATTTGCATTGGTTGATGTTGTTGGAATACCTCTTCAAGGTGATCGTTTACTCTGACTTGATTCACAAACGTTCAAGCCAACTCCTCCAATCCTGATCATAAGACACGTCTGCGATTAATGCTCTTTGATCTTTCCAAGATATTTGAACTGTGGATAAATACCTGAATTACTTTGTCCTGAAATATACGATAGGTTGATCACACATTTTAGGTCCTACAGTTCCAATTGACAAGTCTACCTGAAAAAATCTCGTTTATTTCAAAGGATCAACTGTTGATAATTGAATGATCAGTTGAATTTCTTTTTGCTGCTTTTCTGCTGCTGGAAATTTTTTTTTGCCTCTTCGGGTTTTTTCCCCCGTATTTTATGCTCGTTGCCTTTATCCCATGGATACGTCCCCTCTGACTCATTCAAGTGTACCAACAGGACGAATTGATTTTGATGGATGGAGATTGGCTCGTTGGGATGTATCCAGGGGTAGCAACCATTTACATTCAGACTTCTCGAAGCTTTCCCCTTTTTCCCAGGGTGACAGGAGCGAATTGTAATGAAGCTGTCGCAGTCGAGATTTATATTCATTTTTTATTCGGATTCTCCTTCTTACTCTAGTTCATTCTCCCTGTTCATCATCTTCTGACATTTGAAAAATTCAAAACATCAGTATGACGTCTTTTCAATCTTCAATAGTTTACATCATCTGAACAAGTGGATAATTGTATTTTTTTTGGGAAATTTCATTGCTGTTGCTTTACTATCTGTTAAGAGTTTTTTAGTGGAGGTTTTCTTGACTGGATCCCTGGAGCTGCTTGAACAGACAATTTCACTATTGAAAAAGTTGGTACTCTAGAATTTCAAGGAAAAACGTCACTGAATATTCAAGGGTCTACGGCTCGGTGTTTCGAATTAAAATTGTTCCGAGATAGTTCTCCATGAATCTCCATGGATACCGAGGCCTGTCGCTATTTCTGATGTACAAAAAACTGAGCTTGCAACCTTCACGCTGGAGATACCAGTACACGAGAAAATCTCTCTCGTAACATCAACCAACGAGATGGAAGTTTTACGAGTAGAGAACAGACGCCGGGAGCTTTTCACTAGTCCTCAGGATGGAGGAATAAGTAACTCGTCAACGTTGAGAAGGAAAAAATATAAAATCCTGGATTAATTCTCAGGTTTACAACCCCATAAACCGTAGATTGCAACACGTGATAAAAAATCCAATCAAATTGAAGATATTCTTGGGCGAGCACGTGTCGATTTATAAGAACGAAGTTGCAGTATATAATAATCCAAATAATAATTCGTTTGTCTGATTTTTCTCTATCAATGTTTTTGAATGAATTACTCCTCCACTGAATTTTAATAATTGGAATTCAAGGAGTCCGTGATTATCGAGGGAAGTCAGGCGAATGTCTCCTTGAATTTTTCATTGTGGATGATTCCATTGATGATTTTTTGAATTCATCACCTTGTCATGCTTTTGGAGACGTCCCAGCGAATCGTTTGAGCATTGTGAGTACTTGAGGACGAGTTCTCCCCTCGGTGCACTCGAAAAAAAAGGCGTTGGGGCATTTCAGGGCTTTTAGATTCTCTGTTTCACTCAGTCTCTCCCAACTGCATGAAATATTCCAAAGAAGATGAGTAAGTGCCAGTGGGAATATTAAAAATTCTTTTTAATCCTCAAAACAATTTTCTCTCCACTCATCGGGGAATATTAAATATTAATATCAACTGATGGCACGACCAGATGGAGTGGAACAATGAGCTGAGACTGATCAATATTGAAGCACCCAATGAATTAAATTTTACTCATGCAAATTTCACGTTTCGACTCTGATGAGCTGTGTTTTCTCGGGAAAATGTGCAATTGTGGAGGTGACAATTGATGTGACCTCGTTGTGTCTTACTGAGAGGTCGAGTGCATTGGCACAATGCCCAGATGATTCTGGGCGAGTTGGAGATCCTGCTGAGGTGTTGATTAGGTGATTTAGGAGACAGGTTCGCGAATAATTTTCATGTTATAAAAAAAATAACGGAAAAGGAATCTTGAAGTCTTTGAAATGTGCAACAAGAACCAGACAGCCCTCTGACAATGAATTTACGATCGATTGACGTTTGAAAAGGCGAAAAGCAAGAGAACGAATCCGTAAAGAAGAATAAAGGAAGTAGCTGAGGGCAATGGAGCAGCGTGAGGCCATAAAACGATAGAGTCCTCTTAATCTTCCATCAATTCCCTTAATTAACTGGCAACAATAGCCAACCGATTGGAGAGAGGGAGACACCTTTCTAGGGGTAAACCAAGGAGAAAAGAGTGCCCCTGGCCAACGTCAGGAGTTGGTCCATTGTTGGATGAAAACCCCGACGGGTCCTTGGAGATTTTTTTTTTTTTCAAATTCTCTTGCCGTTTCTCTTACGGAACACCTCGCTCATCGAATTAATGCTCCAATTAATCAAGCGAACGAACATAATTGAGGAGAACAGAGAATCCAAGATTTTAATCATGAATCTTTTCATTTGTGAATTGTGGAGTCGTTCACTTATCTCACACGTTAGAAAATTGAGCAATATCTATTTGGTAGTGTCGAGGTAGAAACAGCTTCTCCAGGGAAATTAGAATAAATGAGGGGTGCATATGCACATATGCAAAATATCTACTATCGCCCCAGAGTTTTCTCGCATCTTTTTTTTTTTTTATGTGTACCTAGTGCACGTTTACTCGTCCATCTCACAACTGTTATTACAGGCATTTTCTACATCGATAGCTAAATGTTTGAATATGGAAATTGAGAAACTATTGGTCATTCAATATTGGGACGGAAAATTGATGCCTTTGGGGGTTTTTATGGTGGGAAATGTAGGGACAATTTTTTTTTAGATGTGAAAATAGTGCGACTATTCATTCCCTGTGAGGGTCCCTTTGTTTTTCGTACGAAGAAAAAATAAAACAAATGGAATATCGAGTGATACACAAGTGTGTACCAGCTGTCCAGTTATTTCACAAGAAACCCCACGGCTTTTCCCATGCAAATCTACTCATAACTCAGAGTACGCGGGGAATTGGGAGGGAATTTATTTTTCTCCTTATCGCTAAATGGGAATTGGAGTGGTGGATTGAAGAGGGGGTTGAAGGGGTTGAAATTATCGAGAGAGAAAAAGGTGGAAATGGTGGAAGTAAAAAGGGCTCTCACGTGTATCACTGGGTGGAGCACCGAATACTTGACACGTCCACTGAATTTGTCTCGCATTTCCCATCTTATTGTACTTATAGGTTTTCTTTAGGGCCATTTTTCTTCGTGAAATATTGCCGAGTTGACATACTCGTGGGGTGTACAGAGACTCGAAAGTCACTGTCGATTTCACTCTAATTACAATGAATATCGAGATTGTGTCATCAGGGACTTTGGTATTAAAAAATAATAATTGAAAATGCCAAGGCCATTCGCCACGATGAACAATAATTTCCATTGGAGTGCGATTTGTAACTGGGAAAACCGGATGCAACAGCTTGAATATTCCCCTCACCTCTTCTTTTACCCCTCGTATTATATATACAATTCATCTAATGCGAACTTCCGGCCCACAATGAGGCGCTCACAATTTAATATTTCACGACCAGCCGTCCGTGATTAATTAGTTTTTATTTCAGATTTCACTCTTCAACTTTCCTATTCATCATAAATAATTGGTAATTTTATAACCCACAAAAAATTATTTATAATGTTAATCTGAATGGATGACTATTCGCTACAAAACAAGTTGATAATTCGATAGATTTTTTATTCCTCGGATGACAATCGATCCGAGATAATGAAATTTCAAAATGACCGTGAGAATCACCGACTTTCCGCCTTTCTTGGAGTTAGCAAAAACTTTTTCAATTGCTCCAGTGAAACATTTCATCAGAATTTATGAGGTGAAAATGTAGCAACATTGTCGAAGCCATAAACCAAGAATTTTCTTCGGGAACATCGCCCTGGAGGAAGTAAAATCAGAAGATATGGTGTGTCGATGCTAAATCAATAAGTGACGAGGGGTAGAAAGAGGACGAGAAGTTGTGTCCGGAGACACTTCTTATCTCGGTTTCTAGGGGCCTTTGTGGAAATGCAAGGTACATAACTATATACTGTAGCTACTGTAGCTAGGATGGGGCTTCGGTATGTGGAACGTCGTGCTTAATCGTCCGATCGATATATAGGGGAGGAAAAGGGCTCCGGTATGTACCGAGAGGGCATCGAATTCCCACCCTTTTACCCGGGACAAATTTAACATTGAACCGTCAATCCTATTGAACTGCACATTATCCCCAGTATCTTCAATTAATCTCTTATTTTTTTTTTCCTTTTAGAATGAGAATCGAGCACTCAGACTGAAAGAATCAGCTCTAGGACTATCGAGTGGAAGTTCAGGTTATGCTGAACCAGATGGTACAGCCATGGCAATGTCCTCGGAGCTTCTACCTGTACCCACCCCAGACCCCAGGGTGACATGGAACTACTTCGATGAACAAGGGTAACTCCACCAACAAAATTTCTCCTTTCAACTCGCCAAACTTGATAATTCCATTCAAATCCATATCCACTTGAACTATCAGGTGAATATTTTCCCTGAAATTATCGACACACCGGAAATTAAATTAATTTCCCTTGTATCCGACCTGATAATCAACTTATTGCATTTCACCATCTATGCACTCTAAACTAATCATCAAATGCCTTCAGATATGTCTCCAGGGGTGGACTGAGAGCTGGTGAAGACCCTTATGCCAGGAATAAATTCAATCAGGAGGCGTCAGACGGTCTGCCGAGCAATCGGGATATACCAGACACTCGAAGTGCAATGTAAGTAACTCACTGTCAATTGTTTCACCCAACGAAATTGATAGAAACGTCAAAATTCCGGGTATTCCTCAAGAAATAATGGAATTAACGGATACACGGGGGATCCGAGATGTCGATGCCAGGGGCAGACGTCGAAGAAACATCAGTTCTATCAATCCATTTATGTGTTACTTTCGAAAATATCGGAAAATATTGGAAGGATGTCTGCCGGGAAGAACTATTGCCCTGATTGCTTCGCAAATTTGGGAGGAAATAGACATGTCAGAGAGAATGATATACGTCAGGATGGCGATAAAAGAATCTCGAAGGAGAAGACGCATATCATGGAGGGAGAAAGTTGTCACCAATTTGTGATGCACTCGGTGAATTTATTCCTGGGTGTTTGACGCTTTTGGATTTATCCATTTAAATATTTAAGTCGTAATCACAAGTTTGACTGCTTCTAAACGCTTTCTTCACCAGTAAAAACATCGAATGCTGTCTTGGAGTCATGAAGAGGCATTACGAGTGTCGTTTTTATTGCTCCAGGTTTGGCTGTACGATCACGTAGCTGGAACTCCAAGTAGGCAATACCATTAAGCACTGGGACTACCCCTTAAACTTCACAAACTCAATCCCATCGCTTCAGCTACTCCAGCTCCACATACATATAGAAAGTAGAAAAAACCAGAGAACAGAAGGGGATTCTTATTTCAGTCGTGACGGCCCTTGAGCCCTCTACTCGCTCTTTATCTAGAGCCAGACTTCTCCAACGAGTTTTCCCGCTATTCGTCCTCTCCTGATCCTGTCTCGGCGCTGGACGGTGACAGATTCAATTTTTCGGTGAAATTTCAACTCCTGTTTGGAGAGCCAGAGTGAGAAAAAAGCTGGAATTTTAAGGAGCTGAAGAGCTCAACTGGGGATATTAACTTTAGGGGACAAATCCAAGGATGGGAAAATATTCATGGTGATCAACACATGATCGAGTCTGAAGTAATCGAGTGTTTGGGACAGGAAATTAATGCGATGCAATGATCAGGGTATCTCATATAATTTTGAAAAAGCCACAGTGAGGGACTAACTTGAATATTGATTATCTTCAATGAAAGAGCATTCTCTTGGTGCAGTATCACCTCTGGAAAAATTCTAAAGCTGTCGAACGTACGTGATACCATCACCGCTCTATTTCTAAGGCCGTTGCATCATTGCCCCGAGGGACGGATGTTCAATATTGTGTGTGTTACCCGGGGAGTTGGCCCAGTAAGCCATGAATATTCCGGATGAAAAGAGGTCTGATGAAGCGTCTGGGACTCAATTCATCGATGGCGTCATAAAACTCATGTACACCGATGTAATTGGCACACACCAATGTGATCATTGCCGTTGGATTTGCTGAGCTGAATATTCAATCACGAAAACGTGTGTTCTGGAATTTTCCAAGTATGAAGTTGCAATTCTCGGGATAATGCTGGTGGAGTCCAAGTAGGTTATCAAAATGCGATCCTGAAGAGGGTTCAGGACGTAGAAACTTGGTGTACGTACAAGCTGAAAATGTTATTCCATCTAGTTCTCTGGCGTTGCATTAAACATACAGATGTGCGCCCCGGGTCTAAGAAGAAAACATGTCAACTACTGGGAGTGAGAATTTTCGGGGAAATGTGCATTTTGTATTCATCAGATCCTTCCGCACCCCAAGGTTGGGTTATTTCCTTATTCTGACGCTCTCCAAATTAACTTGAATCATCTGAATGTATAAATAAATGGGAATTATTACTCCTCTCTTGGTCGAGGCCATTTTTTTTTTTTCATTATGAAAAATTCTCGGGACATCTAATGTTACGCTGTTTGTTCAGCTAACCGGAGAGTTAAGAGTTATTAATCAGGTAATCCACCAGGAGTTGTTGAACGGAAGGGGAAGTGGAAGTGTGTGTTAACGAAGAAGGGGATTCCCCGGATCGGAAGCAATGATCTTCTAAATATGTTTCCACCGAGTTTTCAAAGTTCAACGCAGTAATTCAATTTAAATCGTAATTGAGAGTGCAAGAGGTGGACATAAAATCCAATCTTCAGTGATTTCCTGAAAATGTTCTTCATGAGAAAAATTCTCGGCGTGAAATTTTGGTGAGAAGTTATTCTCAGCACAGCGAGACTTAATTCATTCGGAGATTAAAACAACAAGTTGATTACTGAGATAATTAACTTGTATCTAGCTATTGTTTTTTTTGTTATGAAGATCGTGTACTTTTTAAAATATCTGATGAAGCAGTGAGGTGAAATTCTTGAATGATTTTCTCCGGGTAAAGGGTCACATGGGGGCAAAAAATTTAAGTGACTCCATAAAATTTTCAAATTTCAGTGAATACCCATTTCATAACGCAGAAAACGTTCACCCCGCGGACTGGTCCCTCTGACAGTGGGACTACTACTGAGGCAGTTAACGAGTCGGCTGACGGGCAGACACCCCCATTGCGTGTGGTGCTCTCCCTCTCTTGGGGTGCAGTACTACGATGCCGTTGGGGTCACTCAAACCTCCAGAACTGAGCCTCTACTTTAGTCAATCCTCTTTGGTCCCAATTCTCCCATCGGCTCAATTTTACAGCTCACTGTTGAAAGTGTCTTTGAGACCGCAAACGAGCCCTGGAAAATGACTCCAGGTTCATGCCGTAGGAAATCCAAATGTATTTCTACCCTCGGGAAGTCTCAGTGGCGTCAGCGGGTGAAGTGATAAAGAAGAAAAAAAAGAGATGTGAAGAAGGAGATGCAGAAGAAAAAAAAACTCGAGGAAGGACAGTGGAGTACCTCCAGTAACTCTGGACCCCCGCGGATTCTTCGAGTTACAGGTGATAAACTTTACGATTCTGCACTGACGGCCGCCGTTATTCGCCCTCGAGTTTTTTTTTTTTTTGGATTACTTCTTATCTCCAAGGAACTCTCAGTCGTTTCCATCTCGTTGGTACTCATTCTCTTGGTGAACAAACGATTTTCCCTGGCATTGCAACTGCGAAAGAGATTTTTAAATTGCTTTGACGTTTCGCGATGTGTTTCGCGAGGTGTTTGATTGATTTTTTTCCAATCCTCAGGATTGTCAGTTTTGAGGATTCATTAAGTTCTTGATGTGAGGGAACAATTTGAACTTCAAATTATTCCAGCTGAAACTAATATCCTCTTCTCAAACTTCTGAGAACATAAGTTTCTTCATTTCAAATAGCTATCCAGCTGTTTTCTGACAATTTTCTGTCGAAAGAGAACAGTCCAACGGGCTGTAACGGGCGGTAACTAGATCTCCGTTCTCTCGTTAGTGTTGAAAACTGCGGGTAATTAGGAGCCCCTTGGTAAATAGTTCATGTCTTGTTCGCCGGCTGGAATACACTGGAAAATGTTGAAACCCAAATTTTCCACCAAAAATGTCGAATTACTCACTCGTAAAGTAATTAATGGCCAGAATACTCAACGGGGTCTGGACTATTAAAAAAAAAACCATTTTTTATTAATTTTTTAATAGTTCAGCGCCGGTGAGTGTTAATAGTCCAGACTGAGCGACAAAAAATATTCGTCACTCGTCGGAAAAGAATTTTTCGGACGACTTTATTTACAATTCGAGGCGAATCCGAGAAATTTAAACACAGTCGTCAGAAAAGTTCTTAACGTCCTAGTGACGAAAAGTATTATATTCTACGACATCGCACGGCAATTCATCTGCAATAAAAATGGCTGCCTATGAAAGCTCATAATTTTTATTGTAAAGCTGAGAAAATTCTCTTAACATTAACTTTAGTAAATTTTTGCCCGTGAGGAGTTGGGTAAATTGCATTGTGTCTGAGGGTAGGGAAAAGTTTCTTTTTGAGATTATGTGGAATTTTTTCTGGAGGAAATTGAGGATGAAAGAGGGGGAGGGCAAATAATGACGTGTAATAGAGACCAATTTTCGTTCAAGTTCCCTCGTGGAACGTTCAAAACTCACTTACATGGCGAAAGATAATATCAGTATGAGAAGAGGCTCGAGTACAGGGCACGTACTGACTATCGTACGTGTTTCGTTGAGTGCGAAACTCACGTTCACAATTCTAATAAAATGACTTTTCGTAAATAAATTTGAAGAAAAAAGAAAATTTGGGGTTTCCTTGGTGTACGTGAAGCACTATATACTAGTAGTTTGAGTAAATATCGGGTAATTAATCTCGAAATATTCCAGAAATGTTAATTTCTAGAGACAAGAAAAACTCGTTATCCCGAGTGCCTCAATGTATTCCAGGCGTCAGGGTAATAATTCAGTTTGTTTACGATTGGAGGTGTTTGCATATCAATTAACTTTCTGTACTCTGTACATGCATTGTTGTCTCTGTCATTTGTACCTGAGGCTACCTGGAAGATCTGAATTTAGCTGGTAGTGCACAATGTACTTTGTTCGCCTCCTTCTTCTCGAGAATCGAGCTTTACTGAGTAACTTAATTGAATTTCACATTGAGTATTGTCCCATGGTGAATTTAGGATGCCTCGCGTGAAATTGCCCTCGTACACTGCAATCATGAGGGATTGGGGGAGGGCAAACAGAGCACCAGAGGATATTGTGATCTTATCAAAATCGTTTCGCATCTAGGGGAAATTTCTTTGATACTCCAAAACTATTTTTTGTCATCACATGCATTACGTTATTTTCTTGGGTATTATATTGGATGTGTCTTGATAATTGATTTATTCATCTAACTTGTGTAATTTTGTGGATCAGATTCTCATTCGTTCCCGTACTCTCTATTTCGATCCTCGATCCTTTCACAAATCGGGATTCCTCTCTCCTGCGTTCTACGAAGATAAATTGCCTTTCACTTTTAGGAAAATGCACGGATAATATAATGGATTCAATCCAATCATTCATTCGATCAGTGTAGCATCCTGGTTATCACGTGTTGTACATGAAAACCGGGTGAATTTGAAGGGAAATCGAACAAATTCAACGGCACGTTTCGCTTCTATCACTTTCCCAACAGCTAAATGCTGTGACTCATTCTTTAAATACACCGTTC